GTATATGGTTATTACCGGAGGCAACGACAAGATGATCAAAAAATCTCCAATGGTATTCGCCATTTTCGTTACGGATCGTAATGTTCCATTGTCCACGCTCAGAGCTTCCAATCCATTCCGCTTGGATGACCTTGTGGTGGAATCGGATGAAGGGATATAGGCCGGATTCTGTAGCAAATCGTTGATGGTATGCTAGGAGGTGATGATGAGAAGGGTATAGGGAAGTATTTGGCGGAAAGGTGAAGCCCGGATATGTCATGCTCGGTACAGGTGTATTGGTTCGTAGACGCGGATATAAGGGTGTTTCGGGTATCTCTGGCGGATAAACAGGCGTTGTCTCAGGAAGCCTAGTAAATAATATGTTGAGAAAGCTTCCAGATATATATGAGCGAGTGACACACCATACGCCACCCACATCTTCTCTCTCCTCATAAAGGACAAAATCTAGTCTTTGCTTCGTCTCTTCAGGTAGCTCAACTAAGCTCTTCAACATGCCTAAACCAGCGCTGCCTGCACCGATAACCGCGATGCTTCTTGTTCCCTCATTTCCGTTGATTTCTGATGGGAAGTTGGATGACAGGAGGTGCTTAGAAAGAAATGAAAAGACTACCTGGCGCAGGTTGACCATGGTAGTTCCTAGAGATCAAGAGACTTGTTATGAGGAATTGAGCAGGATAAATATGCGGATGACCTTGACATTAGTGAGCATACCTCCTATATAAGAACGCAACTGTCGGAGTAATACCAGTTCATCATTGCGTGCTTTCTCGCGCTTTCGGGTTGGTATAAAGGGTTCTCGTACATCGTAACCGGTAGGTTGTAGGTTGTAAGTTTGAAAACCATTAGCGAAATTTTGATGCAATACTTCAGAAAAAGATAGATGGTTCTGTTGTCTGAAATCTCACCGCGATTTTGAGAATGCCTGCCGGGAGCGGCACACCTGGTATCGACAGCCGAATCGGCAGGACAATGCCGATAGGAATCGCGCCAGTATTTCTATCTACAGCCAATCAACGTTCCTGTTCCCAGCACAATGACATCGTCGACAATTTGTAATAAGTACCTGCAGTTGCTTATAGAGACTGACCCTTACCTTCTCATCCATCCTATCTTACCAACGCAATGACCGATATTCATTTTCGTAGGATTGGCGATGACAAAGTCCGCTCGCCTGGTAAGTTCACACGAGTTCCTGTATGATTGAGTCAGGTAACACGGCGATGGGATATACGCAGGTTTTGGCGCGATGGTGAGCTGAGTCATTTGCGGTTAATTAGTAATGCCAGTGCTGATGAAAAGATAAGAGTTTGAGTCACGTTTATGGACGAGCGGATGATGAAGCGAGCAAGGAATTGCTTCGGCATGCTCTTAAGCTGGGAATTACATTTTGGGATACGTAAGTTGAGAAGCTACTTAGATCGATAGGGATGTAACTTAATCGAAATTAACTTTGCAGTGCTGATATGTATGGTTGCGGCCACAAGTACGTTGAAACCATCTAGTCGCCACTCGAATAAACTCTCGATGACCTGCTCATGATGTGCAGTGAAACATTAATTGGTATTAGAATTAAACTCACTCCATTGCACCTTAATAAACTTACACTCTCTACCACCCAAGGATCTGTACTAAAGGAAGGCGATAACCGATCCAAAGTGTTCCTCGCTACAAAGTTCGGTCAGGTGTTTGATCGGCAGACTCTTAAAAGGACAGGGGAAGTTCGAGGTACCTAAACAAAACCAATTATGTACCGCAGCTTTCTCAAGACATTGATTAGGGGATGCTGCCTATGTTCGACAATGTGCCGAAGAATCGATCGTCAGACTCGGCACGACGCCCGACCTCTTCTATCAACATCGCGTGGATCCCAATGTGTGGGTCACTCCTTTCAATCGATTCTTGAGAACCCATCTGATTTTATACTATGTAGGTCCCTTGAAGAGACATATTCTACGTTAGAAGAACTGAGAAAAGAAGGGAAATTCAAGTACATCGGAATCTCTGAATGTAGTGCTGAGACACTTCGGAAAGCATCAAAGGTTAGATATTTAAAAATTACGCGGGAAAGCAAGTTGAATCTCTCCGAATATCAGGTCGCAAAGATATCTGCCGTTCAGATCGAGTATTCGCCATGGACCACCGATATTGAACGCAGTAAGCCCATTGAATAAATCCACAGTTTACGACCCTATAACCAGAATCAAATTGCAGACGGACTCCTCGATGCTGCACGAGAATTAGGCGTAACAGTTGTAGCCTATAGTCCACTTGGACGTGGATTCCTTACTGGAACCATCAAATCACCGGCAGACCTCGCTCCGGGAGATGTGCGAAGTGCATTCCCTCGATTCGCAGAAGAGAATTTTAAGAAAAATTATAAAGCGAGAAATTTCATAACGATTCACCGTGAGAGTTTACTCACACTAAGCGCAATAGGTGGTGGAGGTCTTTGAAGGTATTGCTAACCGCAAAGGCGTTACGTCTGCCCAACTCTGCTTAGCATGGCTTGCTGCGCAGGGAGACGATATTATTCCGATTCCTGGTTGGTATTATTTTCGAACCTATGACGAACCAGAGCTATCTAGTATTCATTTTTGTTTCAGGAACGAAGACCACCGGAAGACTTGAGGAAAATTGGAAATCAAGGGATCTAAAGCTGACAGAAGAAGATATAAAGGAGATTCGCAAGGCGGTAGATGAAGCGAATATTCAAGGGACCAGGTCCGTGTCTTTTTTCTAAGCTGAATAACTATGCGCTTAGTTGGATGTTATAGGTACCCCGCTCCTGCAATGGCTAAAGTTGAGCTCTAGACCATAACTTCATCGGTTGGGCGCACGACGTGCAGTGCGGCTGAGTTATACAGAGAGAATTTGACAGTAATTATGTATGAATTTGAGTTATCAGTCAATCTTATGTTCAATTTCATGCGTGAATAATATTCATACTTGGGATCCTAAAGGAAAGAAAATAGAGGGGAAGGTAGGGAGAAAAATAATAAATAAACGTCACGGTGTTGTCTCCCTAAATTCACGCCTTCCAAGTTCCTAGCAGATAGCATATGAAAATGGCAGAGAATTTATATGGCCAGATAAATTCGTATAAGGTGTTGGCGAATGAGGACACGCCCTTGCTCTCAGCACGATGTATCGGGGAGTTTACTAGTTGTCGCTCCTTGAACAGCATAGTATAATCAGATCTATTCAGCTGATATGAGAGGGAAAATATCCTGATGCGTCGAGGATCTAGACTCAACGCTGAACAGTTATTGACAGATATCTCACTATTAGGCTTTCGGTATGTATATGGCAGAATTTTGGAATTTTGGTTTTACAGACAAGTAAAAAAATAATCAAGACGGATATACAGATGACGATATTGTAAAATACAGGTATGTATCAGATTGTGAAAAATCCAGATAGCGGTCTGTAGGGTATAAGGTAGTGTACATTTATGCTTAGTTAGTGGTAGTGCCAGGGGAAGAACTTGATGGTGAGACCCGAAGAAAACAATTGACTAGAAATCTAATAGGAATAAAATTAGTCTAGAGAAGAATATATTTAGAGAATAGATGACGTACAATGAAACGGAGGAATGTGTTTCTCTTATATATGATGAGGGTGATTTTACATCCAAGCACAGTCCTCGAGGTCCAGCATTTCAGCCTGAGCAAAGAGCATTAGCCTGGCAGGGTCAGACAAAAATCATGGAGCTGCTCACTTTCTCAATGATCTGAATTCCTTTCTTGTTGGAATGGTAATGACTCTGCTTGTATGATGCAGAGTCGGAGGAGATCTATATTATAAAGGATTAGTTCTAGTCGGTTACACTTCTGCAATATTAGTTACCTCACTGTGGCTTCTCATGCAGGAAAGAAGCATATTGGTGACAGTTCGGGTGACGCTGGAAGGCATTTTTTGAGAGGGTGTGTGGAAATTGGAGAATGTGATTGAAGAGGCAAGGATTGTTGGAGGAAAGGACGGTAGACGGTGTTAGTATTTATATAGAAACTGAATGAGTCGTCTGCCATCTTCGGATTGGATTAGCGCTTCCGACCAATAGTGGATGCTTGCCAGTAGCCGTTCGGTGGTGGGACACATGTCAAATGCTGTCCGCTTTTTCCGCACTGTGACCGTTGGAGCGCATGTTTTGCGTCTTCTTCGCAGCTACTTTCTTCGATCATCAGAGTATATCTTCAGCCTCCTTGTGCTTCTCCCGCCCTTTGTCAAGTATAATTTCCAGGTATCGCTTGCCCACAGTCTAAAGCCACTTAAGTACCAATCGGTGACATCGGAATGCTATATGAATTACGAAGAAAAAATATGCATTACAGCCCTTTCGATTACGTAAGGCGTGCGCTCAAATGATACGACGAAAGCACCGAATTCGCAACCGCAATATCTCGACGCGCAGTGCTCTAATCCACTTCAAACTTTGAATAGGATATATTCTAAACCATATCTAGTGCATTGTACCACTGTTTCTCTACGAAAATGGCTGAATAGAATTTAGCAATTTGGCAGCATATCCACAATTCTACATTCTTGAAGCTGTTAATCTACTGCTTAGAGGCTTCTAGACATTTATATAGACTATATCTAGTGCATGGAGTGGCGAGGGAAGTGCCAATTAACCTAGTGGTCCTTGCAGAAGGTGCATGTAAAATGGTACACTGTTCCACAATCAAGAACATAGTGAAGGAGTGCTCCTGGGTGTCTGGGCTACATTCTATGCACTAATTCGCTTCAAATAGTGTATTTAGATGGCCTAATGTACATGCCAAATGCTGTATTCCAGGAGCAGTTGCGGTTTTGCACAAAATGAGCGACTTTTTAAATACCAGAATTAGTTAGGTTTTTACGTGACAGAGCACTAGTATCCATATTTAAAATCACGTGTACAAAATCTCATTAGGATGGGTGCAGTGGTCGTCGAGATATCGCGGTTGCGAATTGGGAGTGTTCGTCGCGTCGTTTGAGCGCGCGCCTTACGTAATCCAAAGGGCTGTAAGCAAGAATTGAACTCGCGGCTAGTCAATGGCAACGACTAAGGTTACCACGACCCCATTAATGCGTCCAGGTTAGGAACAGCATGAGTGTTCTCTGGTGCCGTTATTAGGTATCCATAGTACATCTTCAGACTTCTCCGAGTTCAGAGTGTTCGTTCTGCTACTCAGCTTTGACAACTTGGCGGAGAGTACGTGGGATTGAATGATGTACAATCCAGAATGACCACCTGTTTATGGATTATCTGATACATAATGTCAGAGACTCCATTGGGGACTGCAGCGGAGATGGCCGCAACAAAGGAGCAATGACAATTTTGACAGGTGACAAACATTGGCGGGACTCAGTGGATTTGTTTTGGTGTAAGTATCTTGAAGACTCTGCAACAGGTCGTAGAAATGTTGTGAATAGCCTGTTGATAATAATAATGGTACGGTACTATCGCAAAAATAGGAGTGGCAGGAAATACGGCAGAAGTATGTAGGGCTTTCGAACTCAAGCTGTACCGGGACAATGACTCGATGTTTACTGAGCAGATGTCTAGAGGTCATGTGCCAGGATTATACTACGCAAGGAAAACTGACCATTACTGACTAAAGGTTCGGAGCGGCGTGCGAGCATCCCTGGGCCGATTGTCCGGGTTGAAGAAATAATTGTCCGAGTTGAAGGAATAATGTCTATTCGAGAATTATACCTGACAAAGGTCGGATGAGAGAAAATTCTGGAAGGGTGTTGAAGATGCTCGAAGAAGACAGCAGTGGTTAATGAATGTACAGCAACCCCGCGCGGGGATAGCGCGGGGAAAGCGGACACATTAGACATGCGCGAGCCGCAACTGAACGGCCACCTATTGGTCGGAAGTGCTGCACCAATCCAAATTTGACAGGCATCTCAGCTCATTCGGGTTTTATATAAAAACAGAATTTGTATGCCGTCCTTTCCTTTAGCAATCCTTGCTTTTTCACTCCAGCACGTCCTATACTCTACTTCACTGTTGGCAACGACACACTTACGTCAAAAATGTCCTCTAATATCATTACCCGCACTGTCACTAAGATGGTTCGTTCTTGTCTTCCTAAGAAGAGTTTTCTAATCGTCGAGAAAGTGAATAGCCCTCCATAGTTATATCTGAGTGATAACTAATATTTCTTCTTAAGGCTGAGTTCCTAGACCTTGAAGACTCTGATTGGATCTAAACTTGCACATGTGAAAATAAAACTCGGCATCCTTTAAGTTAAGCTCTTACCGTAAGCTACCTCCTTTTTGAATAGATCATCTCTGGAATAACCTTCTCGTTATTAGATTTGTATTTTAGTCGATTTTTTTCTTCGGGTCTCATCATCTTTCTGATTGCAATCATCACTGTAACCAACCGTAAATGTACACAACATTTTAGCTCTCTGGACATTTTCACAATTCTCTCTGATACCTGCCTGTATTTTACGATAACGTTGTTTATACAATATTGAATTTTTTTATTGGCCTGCAAGACCCAAATTGTGGGATATTCCGGGAGACGCTTCATAAGATATCTGTCCATAATTGCAGGCATAGCAGGAGATTGAATAGTTTTGCCTGCGTTTCATCGACTGAAGAGAGCTTCAAATTGATTTGGATTCACTGCCAAACTTCAAAGTATCGCTATTCCTTAGGTATTCATTGACATACTGATAGATAACTGTATTCTAGTCTAGAAGAATCCTACAATGCATAGTACTCACAATGTTAATTCAAGAATGAAACTCATCTTCGCACAATTTCCTTTTGAACCTGTTAAACAAAACGCGCGAATAATTATTTCTGTCAGGAGGATTGCCTTTTCCAAAAGTGGACACATGCCTTCGGAGGGCATATTGCTAACTGGCATATCAGGAAGCATATTGGTTAAATTCAGCTTCACCCCGTTGAGCATTACATTTTTTGTTATGCCGGTGTGAGAATTGCGAAAAAGAAGAAAAAATACATTAAACAAGAATTAAACTCGCTAGTGGATGGCAACGACTAAGGTTACCACTAGCCCATTAATGCAATCCTGAACGAGAGCATACGTTTCCCGAGCACAGCTACGCATACATACGTCTTCTCCTCCTCAGTATCCGTTCTCCTACCCCACCTTTGACAGATTGGCAGAGAATACGTGGGACTGTGTGATACACAATCATAGTCTATTTATAGACTATCATACATACTATTAATAATGTTAGATAATCCGCTGGAAAAACGGGACGGAGACAGCCAGCGCTTGACTGTAACAGGTGACGCAGTTATACTTCCGTTGTCGGTCCTCAGTGCATTCCATGTTTCTGTTGTACCTTCGAGAAAAGGTCGTAAAAATATTGAAAATCCTCTGTTAATAATTACATCAGAAATATAGGAGCAAGTATAGCTAACAGAACTAAAAGTAATGTAATTGAGCAAGGATTTTAACTTAAGCCACATGCCGGAGAGGTGACTCGATGTCTACTGAGCAATTGTCAAGGAACTCTGTTCCCAAATTATGAGGGCGTACAACCACCAGCCGAAATCATTCGGAGACTGATCGATTAGTAGGTAACTGGACTTACAGCTATTCCTACTACTCGGCAATTATACCTGCCTGACAAAGGTCGGGAGAGAGAAAGTACCAGAAGGTGGAAGATAGAACGATGAACGAAGAAGGCAGCTGGGAATAAGATATTATACAGCATGCGGCACTCCAGCGGGAATAGACGGATAAAGCGGACAGCATTAGGCATGGGAACCGTCGCTGAACGGCCATCTATTGGTCGGACGCATTGGACCAATCCGAAGATGGCTGGCACACGACCTCACCGGATCCACCTCATGCTGATTTTGTATAAAGATGGAGTTCATGTGCAGTCCTTTTCATCAGCAATCCTTGCAACCCCTTCCATCACATTCTCCATTCAACACCTTTCCACTCAAACATGCCTTCCACCGTCACCCGTACCGTCATCGATATGCTTCGTTCTTGCATAAGAAGTCACGAAGTAAATATTTCGCAGAGGATTCAAAGTAATAGGAGCTCATTCTTGCTTTTGTTATAGATCTCATCGGACTCTGCATCGTACAAGCAGAATCTTAACCATTCTAACAAGAAAGGAATTCAAATGATTGAAAAGGTGACTCAACAGCTCCATAATTTATGTCTGAGCCACAGCTAATGTGACTATTTGCTTAGGCTGAAATGCTGGACTACGAAGACTGTTCATGGATGTAATTCATTTTCGACGCATCCGGAAACTAAGACCTCTTTTTCTCATCGTACGTCATCTCTTTTTCCAAGAGATATTCTCTGGACTAACCTTCTACTAGATTTGTATTCTAATCAATTGTATTCTTCGAATCTCTTCATGATCGTTCTCCTCACTGTAACCGAACATAACCGTACAACACGCTATACCCCACAGAACGCTACTTCTGGACTTTTTCATGATTCCCTCTAATACTTACCTGTATTTTATGTTGTTGTTGTTTGTATAACAATCTTGATTTTTCTTTATTCGTCTGCTACGAAGCCCAATTGTGTGATATCTGCCCCAAGTTTCACTGTCGAAACCTGAATTTTCTTCAGTACGTCGTTTTTGAACCATTTTGGTAAATTGCTGAGCAGAAATTCTGAAATAAATTACGGGACAGAGACATGGCCTTCGACGAATTTTTCGGGAAAAAAAAAGAGGTAAGTACTGCCTACCATATCACTCGCTGGCACCAAAATAATAAAATGTAGCCTCACACCTAAGAAAGAATTGAACTCGCTACTAGTCAATGGCAACCACTAAGGTTACCACTAACCCTTTAGTGCGTTCTTTCCAAGCAGCGTGCATATTCCTGACCACGGTGATGCATCAATGCATGTCCTTTCTCCTGCACAGCTTTGACAGATTCACAGAATACTGGCACGAAAAATTGAAATTAATGGATCGCAGTTTATTTACGAATTATGCTACATACTATTAATAATGACAGGCATTCCGTTGGGAAAACGGGACGGCCGCGGCGTCCAAGCCGCATTGACACGTTTGACGGTTGTCGATCTCAATGGACTCTATGTTCTATTGTATCTCGGAAACGTCGTAGAAATAGTGCAAACGTCGGGCCAGTAATAACACTAAGAATCCCAGATGCATGACTGTATAACTCGAAATAACTTGTACATTGACTTTGTGATTGTCTGACGGCGAGACCTATACCGGCGCAGCTGTGACTCGATGTCCCTTAGCAGATGACTAGTAACGGCCTTATGCCAGGATTAATCATACGAGGGACTTTCCTAAGCAGACAGCTAGGATCCATGTGCCAGGATTAAGAAGTAGTATGAGGGAAATTTGACTAAAGGTCCGAAACGGCTTGAGTCGTGTGCATCCCGAGGCTGATGAGTATGACTTACATGACAGGTGGTCCGACTTGGAATAATGTCTTCTAGTCGGGAATTAGTATGCCTGACAATGGTCGGGTAAAATAAGGTCCTGGAACGCAGAAGTCGCACCTGGGAAGAATGTGTTAATTAACCGCACAGCAACCGGGCGGGAATGGTGCGGAGCACCCGGACAGCATTACACACATACGACCCGCCATATATTGGTCGGAGGTGCTGCACCAATCAGAATTACAGATGACAGACGACCTCACCTTATTAAGCGCAGCTTTTCTATCTATAAAAACGGAAGTCGTGTGCGGTTATTCCTTCAGTAATCCCTTGCCTCTTCATTCATCACTCAATACTTCTCCCTCAACAAAACTCTTACCCCAAATATGTCCTCTACTACCGTCACCCGCGCTGCTACCAACATGGTTCGCTCCTATTTCTCCAAGAAGAGCTTCCCGATCGTTGAAAAGGTAAATATTCCTATTCTATATATCTCCGCCAAAACTAATTCTCCTTCCTAAGGCTGAAGTCCTAGACATCGAAGACTCTGCTTGGATCTAAACACGGAAAATAAAAAATGCTTCCTTTGACTCTCGAGACTCGATCACCGTACGTCAACTACTTTGCAAAGAGATGTTCTTTGAACTAACCTTCCAGTTATTAGATTTGTATTCTAGCGATTTTTCCTTGTCTCATTC